TTTTTCTAAAATTCAGGTTATTCCTAGCCACTGCAGCTTTCTGGGGCAGGCAGGCTGTCAGGGAACCTCTCCTACCTGGCCTGCAGCATTCTGGGATGGGCGGGCTGTTGGGAACCACCTACCTGGCCTGCAGGTTCTCGATCTCGATGCTCTTCTCCCTCTCCATCTTGCACAGGAGCTCCTTCTGCCGCCGGGTCTCTTCCAGGACCATCTCGCAGGCTCTCAGCTCCTGCTCCTTCAGCTGCTCCTCCAGGGCGTTTGCTCTTGAAAGGCAAAAGGAGGAGCTGAGCTGTCTCCAGGCAGGGTGTGCAGTGGCTCCACCCATGCCCAGAAGCTGCCTCAGGACCTCCAGGAAACCTGCCGCCACCTGGGAGGAGGGCTGAGAAGGGCATCCCCGAGCTCTGGTCAAGGCAGTTCTGAAGCAGCGCACACACCCCCAGATAGCCTCGCCTCCCACACTAAAGGCAGCTAGGGGTGGCCAGAGCAGTGTCCACTGCACCCCGGCCCAGCTGATACCCACTGGCACTGCCTGCTTGTGCTGTGTGGACTGCAGCACCCCGAGGGCCCGAGCCCGCCAGGTGACCGCCCCTGGTGCACTCTGTTCATGCAGCTGCTCCACCTGCGGCCGCTACACACAGTGAGTGAGCTCAGGGCCCAGAGGCACGGAGCCTCGGAGCCTCGGGAAGGAGCGTGAAGGTACCAGGGTCCAAGGGCCACAGCATTTCCAGGAAGTGAGTCTGATGAAGCACATGGCCCGTGGCAGCTGAACACCGGGGAACTGAGTGTGCGGGCGGTGTCTGCCTTCAGCTGCAGTATAGTCGGTTCATGGCACATCTCCCAAAGGTGCTCACGAGGCTTCCTGAGTTTCCAGGTCCACATGGGAGCCAGGACGAGTCTAGCTCTGGCTGCTGGGCACATCTGGGCCCCAGAGGCTGTGAGGGGCCACAAGTGGAGGGGGGCCCACTCTGCTCCCAGTCTCCTCCAGGCTGGGTAAGTGGGTATAGAGACCAGTCCCATCCAGGTCACCTCAGAGCAGAGGCAGGGCAGGTGTCAGCTAGACCACAGGGAAAAGACGACATTCCCACGGGGCGGGGAGACACTGGCCTTCCCTAGATCTTCACAACCACCTGCAGGAGACAGGACTGGACTGTCCCAAAGAGAAGGGCACAGGCCCTGCCCACTGACACAGCACAGCCCAGGCCCTGAAGCCCTGCCTTGCACAGAGCCTCTTATCCTTGTGGTGCCTCACACGCAGGAGTGGACAGATGGCCAAAGATCACCAGACACAACAGGCAAGCTTTCAACAGGAACTGGCCAAAGCAAACACCAAGCGAGGACCCCAGGGAGACACATGATGCAGGAGACAGTGAGGAAAGGTCCCTGAGCCAGTGCCCTCCGCGAGCCAAGAGCCACAGCTGCAGGGTCAGGGCGGGCCGCTGCAGAAGAGACAGACAACAAGGAACAGCTCCCGGGAACTGAAAGTGTGGGAAGGACGATCTAAACCTCCGATCAAGATGTTGGGCTCACGCCTGTAATCCCAGCACTCTGGGAGGCCGAGGTGGGCGGATCACCTGAGATCAGGAGTTCGAGACCATCGTGACCAATGTGGTGAAACCCCGAATCTACTAAAAATACAAAAATTAGCCAGGCGCAGTGGCACATGCCTATAATCCCAGCTACTTGGGAGGCTGAAGCAGAATTGCTTGAACCTGGGAGGCAGAGGTTGCAGTGAGCAGAGATTGCACCACTGCACTCCAGCCTGGGCGATACAGCAAGGCTCTGTCTCAAAACACAAAACAACGAACTGAAGGCTGAAAACCAGGTGCATGGCACAGCAAATAATACAAGATCCTCATCCAAGTATGTAGGGTGGGAAACAGAAGTTACGGAGAATAGCAAGGCCCTGCGGCAACAGCGGGTCCTCAGTCACAGCACGGGGTCAGAGGTCTTCAAATTCTCAGGGAATTCAATTTCTGACCTAGAATTTTATGCCCAGCTACGCTATGGACTGGAGCAGGGGTGGGAGGACTAAGCACTTCCACACAAGCAGTTCTCAGAGCATCTGGCTCCTGTGCTCCCTCTTCCAGGCAACTATCAGTGACGTCCTCAGAAAACGAGTTGGCAAAAAGAAGAAAACGTGGGACCCAGAAAATAAGGACTCAAACCCAGGGGAAGCACTCGGAATTCCCAGGATGGCAGCTGTACGGCACGGCTAGAGAGCAAATGGCTCAGGACGGGCAGATGATACTGAAAACGGGTAACGTGTTGTTTAGGACAGTGGAGGTGAGCACCACAGGGAACAGCCACAGGAACTGAATGTGGCCGGGGCTGCGCTGCAGATGGTCAGGGGGCAGAGCAAGGCAGCAGGGTGGACTTCACACACACACACAGAAAACTGATGAACATACTCCAGACTCAAATGAAACCTGACAGTCAGCTCAACAAAGGCATCTAGGCTGGACACAGTGGCTCACGCCTCTGATTTCAGCACTTTGGGGGGCCAAGGTAGGAGGATCGCTTGAGGCCAGGCATTTGAGACCAGCATGGGCAACATGGTGAGACCTCATCTCTACAAAAAATTTAAAAAGTAGGCCGTGCACGGTGGCTCACGCGTGTAATCCCAGCACTTTGGGAGGCTGAGGATGGCAGATCACAAGGTCAGGAGTTCGAGACCAGCCTGGTCAATATGGTGAAACCCTGTCTCTACTAAAAATAAAAAAATTAGCCCAGCATGGTGGTGCATGCCTGTAGTCCCAGCTAGTCAGGAAGCTGAGGCAGAAGAATCGCTTGAATCCGGGATGTGGAGGTTGCGGTGAGCCAAGATTACGCCACTGCACGCCAGCCTGGAGACAGAGCGAGGCTGCGTCTCAAAAAAAAAAAAACAACAAAAAAAACGCTGGGCGTGGTGGTGCACACCTGTAGTCCCAGCTACATCGAAGGCTGAGAGGTAGGCAGGTCGCTTGTGTCTGGGAAGTAGAGGCTGTAGTCAGCACTCAGCCTGAGCAACAGAGGGAGGCCCTGTCTCTTAAGGAGGTGGGAGGTACAGGAGAAGGTGGGGGGTGGAGGAGGTGAGGGGGTACAGGAGGAGGTGATTGGCAAGGAGGAGACAGTGGTCTTTGGAGGCGCAGCATATGTGTAGCACACTACTGGAGCCCAGCCCCTTTGCCAGCATGCCTGGCCCCTCTCCACAAGGCAGCAGGGGCCGGCGGCAGGCCCTCCTCTGCAGAGAATCCTGGAGAACAGGCAGCCGCAAAGCCCAGGGTCTTCACTCCACAAGAGAATGTGCTTTGCTTTGTTAGAATTAAAGTGATGTGCAAGTTACGCCCACGGTCCCATGAGACATTTTCAGCGCTCACAGGGCAGATGGATCTGAAGCTGAAGGGCGGGTCACGCATGTTAGTACGGTGCAGGGTGAGGGCTTGGGGGCTTTGGGAGTGCTGACTGCAAATGCCCTGCTGCCAACACACGTGTGTGCAGGCTGCTCAGAGCCCTGAATCTACCTGGTCAGTGGTGATGAAGACACTGAAGCTTCAAGGGACAGGGCCCTTGGCTGAGCTGAGAATACGTGGAAGGGCAGGGATGTGCCCGGGCAGCTGGGCAGGGAGCAGAAGCTCACAGGAAGAACCTCTTCTGCAGATTCCCCAGGTGCCTCACAGGCCTCCTGGCTGCCTCCTCTGCCCCCAAGAGGCTGCCGGTGCCCAGCTCCAGGTGGCACAGCCTGGGTAGATGACTCCTGGGCCAAGCTCATCTTACTTTGCATGAGAAACAGTACTGCAAATCGGCTATGAGACAACATGGCGTGCCTCGTTTGAAAAACACTGAGAATTACACAGTATTCTAAGAAAAGTCTGCAAACGAGAGTGGGGTAAGCAGCTCCCACTCTTTCTCTGCAAACACGGCGTCACACTTCGCTTCCTCCCTGGCACTCCTGCCCACAGTGATGAGACTGTGCATCCTGTCACGTATTCAGCAGTCTCTGCTCATTTCGCTTTCTGCGGCTGAGCAACTTCCCTAACCTGCATTCTTCCAGGATGGGCACACCTAGTATGGACCAGAGTGGGAGAGCTGCACCTCCAGGCCTGCTGGTGGGGCTGGGCACTGCGTGGGTTTGCAGTCAGCTCCTCCTCTGGGTGGGTCAGGTCCCACACTCCCGAGAGGGAGGCAGTGCCCTCCTCTGGCCCTCTGTGTGTCTAGGGTTCATGGACAACTCCCCACGAGAGCACCAGTCAGAGCCTCGAGTCTCCTGCCTGCAGCCCAATGGGTAGGCTCAGATGACCACCTGGCACCACCCCCTCAGCTGGCTTCCACCCTGGGATGGACCGGTGGCCAAGCCCCTGCTGTGTGAGGTAAAGAGAAGTAAATGGGGGCTGACAGGTGGGCACAGGAGGCACTACGCAGAGGCCCAGGTCTCCTGGCCCAGGCTCACCTGTGCACCAGCTGCAGGTTCTCCTGCCTCAGGCGGCTGTGTTGCTCGCCAGTGGCTGCCGTGTCCTTTTCCAGCTCCAGCACACGCCTTTCCAGGAAGACGACCTTGGCAATGAGACCAGGCTTCAGGGTCAGGTAGTCAGAAGCAGAAGGGCCTGCACCCCCGAGGGAACGACCTGGGAGGCCGCCTGGGGATTTTCTCAGCACAGAATCAGATCCACCTAGCTAGGCTGGTGTTGGATCCAACTTACCCTTGGAACTTGTCCCATAAACCCAAGAAGATGCAGCTCCCAATGGGGCCAGGGGCTTGGGAAGTACTGTCATCTCGACACCACAAATGCACACATTGCCGCAGTTTCGAGAGCTAGAGGCCCAGGGGTGCCTTTGGACTGGCTGGCTCATGGGCAGCAAGACTCTGCCCCCAAAACACAGTTGGGTCTCTGCTCAGCCAGATGCAGCTCACAGAGGCAGCCCAGGTGCCCATGGATGCAAGGGACAAACAGACTCATGTCTCGGTCCCTCCCTCCCTCACAGAGTTCACATCAAGATAAAGTCAGACACCTGCAGAGGTAGGAGAAGGAGTAAAGGGAGCAGAGGACTCAGCCTGGGTCAGCAGACTTGAGATACTAAAGAAGTTGTAGGGAGGAGGAGGTGGGGGTGCAAGAGGAGGTGAGGTACAGAAGGTGATGGGGTACAGGAGGAGGTGGGGTGCAGGAGGAGGTAAGGGGGTACAGGAGATGAGGGGATACAGGAGGTGAGGGAGTGCAGGAAGAAATGAGGGGGTATAGGAGGTGAGGGGGGTTCAAGAGAATGTGAGGGGGATAGAGGAGGTGAGAGGGTGCAGGAGGTGAGGGGGGTACAGGAGGAGGTGAGGGGGTACAGGAGGACATGGGAGTGCAGGAGAGGAGGTGAGGGGACACAGGAGGTGAGGGGGTTCAGGAGGAGATGAGGGCTGCAGGAGGTGAGAGGGTGCAGGAGGAGGTGAGGGGAGTGCAGGAGAAGGTGAGGGGGTACAGAAGGAGATGAGGGGGTACAGGAGGAGGTGAGGGGGTACATGAGATGAGGGGTATGGGAGGAGGTAAGGGGTGTGGGAGCGGGTGAGGGGGTACAGGAGGAGGTGAGGGGGTACATGAGGAGGTGAGCAGTATGGGAGGAGGTGAGGGGGTACAGAAGATGGGGTACAGGTGGGAGGTACAGAAGGTGGGGGGGTGCAGGAACTGAGGGGGTACAGGAGGAGGTGGGAGGTACAGGAGAAGGTGGGGGGTGCAGGAGGTGAGGGGGTACAGGAGGAGGTGAGGGGGTACATGAGGAGGTGAGGGATGCGGGAGGACGTGAGGGGGTACAGAAGATGGGGTACAGGAGGAGGTGGGAGGTACAGTAGAAAGTGGGGGGTGCAGGTGGTGGGGAACAGGAGATGGCGGTACAGGAGGTGGGAGGTGCAAGAGGAGGTGGGGTACAGGAGGAGGTAAGGGGTACAGGAGGAGGTAAGGGGGTACAAGAGGAGGTGAGGGAGTACAGGAGGAGATGGGGTACAGGTAGAGGTGGGAGGTACAAGAGGAGTTTGGGAGGTCAGGAGGTGGTGGGGGTGCAGGAGGTGGTGGGGTACAGGAAGAGGTGGGGGGTACAGGAGGAGGTGAGGGGGATGCATGAGGTGAGGGAGTACAGGAAGAGGTGAGGGGGATGCAAGAAGAGCTGAGGGGGTATAGGAGGTGGTGAGGGGGTACAGGAGATGAGGGGTACAGGAGGAATTGAGGGGGTACAGGAGGAAGTAAAGAGGTCACAGGAGGTGAGGGGGTGCAGGAGGTGAGACAGAGTCTTGCTCTGTCACCCAGGCTGGAGTGCAGTGGCACAATCTCAGCTCACTGCAATCTCCGCCTCCCAGGTTCAAGCGATTCTCCTGCCTCAGCCTCCCGAGTAGCTGGGATTACAGGTGCCCGCCACCACGCCTGGCTAACGTGTATTTTTAGTAAAGACGGGCTTTCACTATGTTGGCCAGGCTGATCTCAAAACTCCTGACCTCAAGTGATCGGCCCACCTGGGCCTCCTAACGTGCTGGGATTACAGGCATGAGCCACCACATCTGGCTGAAAAGCGGGTCTTGACCACGGCAAGGCTGCCTTGCCCTGGCTGCTGCCACCCATTCCATTTAAGTCCCCAGGAGAAGCCTGTTGCGCAGGTTGCTGGCTCTGCAGTCACTGCAGGGGCAGCCTTCTTCTCCCAAATCATGGGTGCCCCAGGTCGCGTCTCCATGGGCCTGGTGGACTGAATGTCTGGGTGTCCCCCAACCCAACTCAGACACAGTGGGGGTGGGATCCCTGAGGGCTCTCATTCACTGCCCAGTCCACCCCTCCCAGCTGGCCCTTGGTGCACAACAGGAAGACTCCTTTTTATCACATGCCCACAAGATCCCTTGGGGAAACTTGCCAAAGAGCAGAGGGTCTGGGGAGCCCTGGATGACATGGGGTCACCTCCGGCTGTGCTGTCCCCACCTCCCGGGATGTCTGCAGAGGCCCTCAGACATGGCTGTGTCTAAATCCCCTACTTGCCGCTACCCAGCCCTGCAGGACCTACCTTGTCAGCAATGTCCTCCTCTGGGCCCTCCACGAGCTCGGGGGAAGGGTCCTCCAGGGCCTCCATAGTCAGGGCCCCTGACTGGTGCAGGTACCTATGGAAAAGGAACAGTAACAGAGGGAAGAAAGGGAAAAACCACAGGACAAGCTCCGTCAGCACAAGCACTCCCAAGTCAATCTGAAAAGCAGGCGGCAGCATTGTAGGGGACAGGTCCTCCCCTGATCTGGGTGGTGGTCTTCTCCCACTTAAAGCATTATATACAGGGGGAGGTCCCAGGCTGGACATCTTTACCAGGGGCTGGGAGAAAGCAGGCCGTGCTCTGTGGTCTCAGAGTCCTCCTGGCGCTCTTTGGAACCTGACAGAACACGACCTCAGTCCCGGCCAGCGAGTGGCAGCGGACTTTGTACTTGGCAACAATAAAACGTGTCCTTCTTCACAGAGACACGAACAATCTCGTCTCTACCAGAAGCCCGTGAGACATCAGCTCAGGACCTCGACCTGCATACACCTCCCCTGTACACATTCTTCATCTCAGACTTTCACAGGTGCTCTCTGTGGCAGGAACAGTGAGGGTCCCAGGAAAAGTGTCGATCCCGGAAGTCTCACTCAGTGTCAACCTCACGGACACACTGGGAAACCGGTCCAACCAAGTCCAGGAAGACATCAGACACACGTGTCCTCTGGGGCACCAACTCCTGTGGACGCATCCCAAGCCCTGCAGGCCATGCCAGGTTACTACCTGGGCCAGGCTCCGGGACACAGCCTCGTGGTCCTGCGTGGACGCAGCCAGCCCATAGGCTGCCGCCTTGGGGCAGGAGCTGCTCCAGGGAGTGTGAGCTTCGGCGCACAGTAAGCGCGTGCTCGTGGTCACCACCGGGCCAGATTCGCTGTGGTGAATCTACACCAACCCGAACTTGCTGGGAGCACAGAAAACTCTCAGAGCACTTGCACAGAAGAGCCAACAGCAAAGGCGCATGTTCAGTTCTTTATACATCCTGGGAGCCTCAGTACCGAGCCAGGCTCCGGGCTGATAGCCTGATGCTCACAACTGCGTGACTGTAAAAAAGCACTGGCCCTCTCCCAGCTTCCTTGCCTGTGAAATGAGGGGACCCTCTCTGAGCTTCCTTGCCTATGAAATGGGGGGACCCTCTCCCAGTTTCCTTGCGTATGAAATGGGGGGATCCTCTCCCAGCTTCCTTGCCTATGAAATGGGGGGATCCTCTCCCAGCTTGCCTATGAAATGGGGGGACCCTCTCCCAGCTTCCTTGCCTATGAAGTGGGGGGGCCCTCTCCCAGCTTCCTTGCCTATGAAATGGGGGGACCCTCTCCCAGCTTCCTTGCCTATGAAGTGGGGGTACCCTCTCCCAGCTTCCTTGCCTATGAAGTGGGGGGACCCTCTCCCAGCTTCCTTGCCTATGAAATGGGGGGACCCTCTCCCAGCTTCCTTGCTTGTGAAATGGGGGGACTTTCTCCCAGCTTCCTTGCCTATGAAATCGGGGTGTACAGGCAATTGAGGTTGGACCAAGGTCCTGCATACAAACAGCTTGGCTAGGGACATAGCAGGGTAAGAATTCCATAAAATGTTAGTGTTTTTCCACTGAAAATGTCTACCGAGTGTATGAAGTTTGATTTGCTTCTTAGTATGGACTGGGCTTGAACATTTCCATCTTTTTCCCCATAAACGCTCTGAGGAAAAAAGAAGGTATCTTTGCCCCTGGAGACAAGCCCTGAGAACGTGCACCAGCTGGAACACACCAGCGCCCTTCTGGGGCCCTGGGAATTTCATCAGATTCTCAAAAGCTGCTGCTGACGCGGATCATGTTCTTGGCCAGTCGCTGCTCTTAAACACCCATCACCTTGCCCCCAAATAAGAGCCACTCCAGGCAGGAAGCTGCAACCCAGAGCCTATCCTGAGGAGAGGCCATGGCCTGGGGCCTGTCAGTACTTCTGAGCCGTCCTAGAGGCTTAGGCACTTCTGGGGCTGACTTGGGGACAGGAGGCACGGCCATCCCCAGGCACTCAGCGTGCAGCCACCACACACGGCCACCCGTGTGAGGCTCAGAGGGTCCTCAGCATGGCGTGTGGGGCTGCTTATTTATTTATTTAAATTTTTTTTTTTTGAGACAGTGTCTTGCACTGTCGCCTGGGCTGGAGTGCAGCGGTGCTATCTCAGCTTACAGCAACCTGTGCCTCCCGGGTTCAAGCGACTCTCCTGCCTCAGTCTCCCAGGTAGCTGGGATTATGGGCACCCGCCACCACGCCCAGCTAACTTTTTAATTTTTTTATTTTTTAGTAGAGATGGGGTTTCACTATGTTGGCCGGGCTGGTCTCAAACTCCTGACCTCATGATCTGCACACCTCGGCCTCCTGAAGTGTTGGGGTTACAGGCGTGAACCACCGTGTCCGGCCGGGCTGCTGATTTAAATCCCCCAGGAAGAGGGATTCTCCAGCTACATCACACCCTCACTTGGGAGAACCCTCCCCTCAGAGAGGGAGCTGTGGAAAAATCCTGATCTGCCCCGAAGGGCAGTAGGTCAAGCCTGGCTGGTGAGCAAGGAGGTACAGGGATCCCTGAGGCCTCCCACCCAGGGCCCTAGGAGCCTGCCTGCTGTGAGCACTTCTTCCTGTCCTGATGGACTCGGCTCTGCCTGGGGCCCCTGTCCCTGCACACGCACAGCTGACTGGAGAAAATCACTTCCATCTCATGGACAGGGACGGAACAAGGCTGAGGGAGGTGACAAGGCAGCCAAGCCCAGGGGCTACAATGGCTGCCGGCAAAACCCACCATCTCAGCAACAGTGCAGCGCGAAGGGCTGAGAACTGTGAGAAGCGAATCACGACAGTTATTTTGCGCTTCCTTAGCCTCTTGTGGCAGATTTGGGGCAAAACACCAGATTAAATGTTGCATATATATATATTTACATGTGGATAGATATATTGCAGAACATGCCTCTGTTTTGTAAACTCTAACTACAGATAACTCAGATAACTGCAGATCGGGTTTTTTTTTTTTTTTTTTTTTTGAGATGGAGTCTCACTGTGTTGCCCAGGCTGGAGTGCAATGGTGCAATCTTGGCTCACTCCAAGCTCTGCCTCCTGGGTTCAAGCAGTTCACCTGCCTCAGGCTACTGAGTAGCTGGGATTACATGTGCGCACCACCACGCCTGACTAATTTTTGTATTTTTAGTACAGATGGGGTTTCACCATGTTGGTCAGGCTGGTCTCGACGGGCCCATGACCTCATGATCCGCCCACCTCGGCTTCCCAATGTGCTGGGATTACAGGCGTCAGCCACCGTGCCTGGACCAGATTGGGCTTTTTTTATACCAAAGGGTACCCATGAAGGAAACATTAAATTTCAAAGG